ACTAAGGAGCTAGGAGGACTCATTCCCGAGTGACTCTTCCTTTGCTTTAGAAAACCGAACCATTTCTTGCTTTCTTACTGCTTTTACTTAAATCAACAATCAATCAACTTAGTTTTCTAGATAACAGATATACACGGAGTAGGCAGTAGATCTAGACCCTGGGTTGACAATTAGATCTTGCTTGTTACAGCATTTCTGGGCCGCGATTACACTTGGTCGCAGTTTGATGTTGTGTTTTAGCGTGTCAAGCTCGTTCCTGGCACTCCAGTGCATGACAACTCTTCAACGTTATGGGAAATTGCATAGTCAACGACTTGTAGAGACCTACTGCCTTTCCCTTTTGGGGGACTTCTATCGTCGCCGTAGTAGAAAACCTTTCGGAGCTTAAGGTCATGGCGGAGGGACAAAACCTTGGACACAAAATTGTCGAACTGTTGGTTAGGTAGAAAGAACCCTTGTGTAAGTTGAGGACAAGGACGTGTTTCCAAGCGCGGTTCCAATCCCGCGACAGCACCGTTGTATGGACAGCTGCTTTGGTGTTGAGGAGCGAAAGGATTTGATAAAGAATGGGTTTTGGAAGATGGGTTAACCTGTCGGTAGTAATCATAGTAGTAGTGTATTCTTCGTCATGACGCCTTTTTCCAGCTTTCCGCAACTCGCCGCCGTTGTTCATAGCTGTTGAAAATTTTAACTAGAAAGGGATTCCAGTACAATGCGGAGTCGTCACCTGTTTTGGATGGACCGGCAGGGACAGGGGCTTCGATCGCGAGACTCTGTTTCCGTCTCCCGCCGCTGTAATTTTGGAGCAGAAGGCGCGTGAAGAGGACTAGACGGCTGGTTCTGGTGGGGCAAGCGCTGCAGTACTTTTATGTTATATCCCATACATTTTTAGAGTTAACCTAAAATCTTACGGTTCATTTGCTTCATGGATTTGAAAAATGAGGGTTTTGGTAAAATTTGGTTTTTGGAAAACCATGGATATATGATGGAATTGGTGGCATTATGGATTTGAACAAGTCTATTGTTTACTTGTTGGATTTGATTATGGATTTTGTTTGAATAGATTTGTGGATATGAAATACAAATTACATTGTTACCCTTATCTAATTATATTTCTATATTATAATCCAAAAATTTTATTAAAAAAAATCTAACGCATACAATGAAAATTTTAAACGCTTTACCACTATGTGGACTAATAATTCAACTACTAATATAGAAATGTATTACAATTTGGCACTAATTAACAACTCATCTAATAATGTACGCAATATTATGTATCAATTGCAACCAATTGCTCACTTTATTGCTACAACTCATCATCTTATTGCTAACTCCCCGATTTTGGAATCCGACAATCAATCAAATAATAATCCACAAGATGAGCATAAGATGTATATAGTTGAATCTATCAAATCACAGATACATTCATATTTAAATAAACTACGATATTACAAAAAGAAATGATAAATTCTCATATATATAAAATACGACATTATAAAAGTTCATAGTTGCATGACCATTGAAGTAAAGTAGGACAACTTTGTAATTAAAGTAATAAGTAAGGGTAGAAAGGTAATTTACCATCATGAATTTTAATCCATCACCTAAATTCCACCTCAAGAGGTGGAACTTCCAAGTCCGTGGGGTCACGGATTTGGAACCCCAAAAGGGGCGGGACCCACAGATTCCATCTCCTTAATTCCCTAATGCAAATGTTGGATTTCTGTTAAAGTCCATGATGAATAGATTTCCATGACCAAATCCATCATCAAAACCCTCAAGCAAACGACTAATTCTCTATTAATCGTTGATATTCGGCTTCAATATATCAGATTCTTGGACTTTATGTGATTATCCATGGTATGTTTTAGCCAATTGGTGCTATTTTAGGGCTCCCTAACCCGAGAATGGTTAAAAACCCATTACTGCCTAGTGCCATGAGTTTGATATGATACAGGTAGAGAAAGCACGAAAAAGGAGCGAGTGCATAAGCAATCGGGCTCGAATTACTGGTGGACTTCTCACTTGGCTCAAGGGCCAACGAGATTGTTTCTTTGGAATTAAGAAAGAAAAGGCGGCCAAAAGGAGAATGGGCCGAGGCCCATTTTATTGTTTCTCTTCTGGGACTGAATTGGACGAAATGATGTTGGGCCAGAGTTCTGATTTGGAGATTCTCTTGGCGAGCAGAATAAAAGAAAAAGAAAGAATTGGCGGCCATATTTGGGGGCCCAGGGAGGAGAATTGGACACGGACAGCAATAAGGGGGGATTTATTTTGGGTGTCGCTTTTGTGGTGGGGAGGAAAAAAAATTCTTTGGAAAAGGAAGCGGAGGAGAGCACCGAGCAAGCTTGGGACGCAAAACGCGAGCAGCGCGCAGCAGGAGGCGATTGAGCACTTGACGATCGACTTCTCCAAGGCTTGAGCCGAGTTCAACGAGAGCGATTAGTTGGTTGGATTTTCTGAACCAAATTAGTTGTTATTTGTTGATTTAGAACATGATGAATAAAACCCTAATGTTTTATCTCAATTTCATCATGAACTAAACCCCGATTTCTGGGGGAAACACCATAGGATGTAGCTATTTCTTGATTTGATGGATTGATTCATGATTTTTTTCTTCCAATCTCTATTGCATGAAATTACTTAATACTTTGTGTTGACTGGCCACTAATACAACGATTTATAGTTAATTAGGTTATTAGCGACAGTGAAACCCTAATAACTGAACCTATTTCATGTGACATAGTAACTTATCGAAGCGACAGTGGATTAAATAAGGTGCTATGCGGTCTTAAATAGGATATCGATCTTCAGGCTAAATAATTAGGTCATTGAGCTACGACAGTAGGATTTGATTTAATTGTTTAGTATGTAGTAATTCCCGATAGGGATAGCTAGCACATTCGTGATACCCTGGCTGTAGAGATATGGATTAAACTGATTGGAATATGTGAATTAATCTGGATAGGATAGGTAGTGAATCCCGGTGTTTCTCCCAGAGCTTTCTCCATTGAATTTCTCCCGACCAATTTACTTTGCTTAATTAGTTATTTTTGCTTTTAGATAATTAGTCTCGTTAAACCATTTTCACCTATAGTTTTCTCTATAAATTGATAGAATATAAGGTTGTACCAGTCCCTGAGAGACGATTCCCGGACTTTCCGGTTTACTACGAGATAGGAATTTGGCATATACGCTTTTGCCCTATCAAGTTGTGTTGTGGAGATATGGATTAAACTGATTGGAATATGTGAATTAATCTGGATAGGATAGGTAGTGAATCCCGGTGTTTCTCCCAGAGCTTTCTCCATTGAATTTCTCCCGACCAATTTACTTTGCTTAATTAGTTATTTTTGCTTTTAGATAATTAGTCTCGTTAAACCATTTTCACCTATAGTTTTCTCTATAAATTGATAGAATATAAGGTTGTACCAGTCCCTGAGAGACGATTCCCGGACTTTCCGGTTTACTACGAGATAGGAATTTGGCATATACGCTTTTGCCCTATCAAGTTGTGTTGTGGAAAACCTTGTGGAGCTTAAGGTCATAGCGGAGGGACAAAACCTTGGACACAAAACTGTCATACTTGTGGGCTAGGTAGAAAGAACCCTTGTGTAAGTTGACGACAAGGACGTGTTTCCAAGCGCGGTTCCAATCCCGCGACTGCATCGAGGTCTGGACGACCAATTTTGTGTTGAGGAGCAAAAGGATGTGATAAAGAATGGGTTCTGGAAGATGGGTTAACCTGTCGGTAGTAATAGTAGTAGTAGTGTCTTCTTTGTCATGACGCCTTTTTCCAGCTTTCCGCAACTCGCCGCCGTTGTTCATAGCTGTTGAAAATTTTAACTAGAAAGGGATTCCAGTACAATTCGAATTCGCCACATGTTTTGGATGGACCGGCGGGGACAAGGGCTTTGATCGCGAGACTCTGTTTTCGTCTCCCGCCACTGTAATTTTGGAGCAGAAGGTGCGTGATGAGGACTAGACGGCGACGACTGGTTCTGGTGGGGCAAGCACTGCAGTACTTTTATGTTATATCCCATACATTTTTAGAGTTAACCTAAAATCTTACGGTTCGTTTGCTTCACGGATTTGAAAAATTAGGGTTTTGGTAAAATTTGGTTTTTGAAAAACCATGGATATATGATGAATTTGGTGGCATTATGGATTTGAACAAGTCTATTGTTTGCTTGTTGGATTTAACTATGGATTTTGTTTGAATAGATTTGTGGATATGAAATACAAATTACCTTGTTACCCTTATCTAATTATATTTCTACATTATAATCCAAAAATTTCATTAAAAAAAATCCAACGCGTACAATGAAATTTTAAACGCTTTATCACTATGTGGACTAATAATTCAACTACTAATATAGAAATGTACTACAATTTAGCACTAATTAACAACTCATCTAATAATGTACGCAATATTATGTATCAATTGCAACCAATTGCTCGCTTTATTGCTACAACTCATCATCTTCTTGCTAACTCCCCGATTTTGGAATCCGACAATCAATCAAATAATAATGCAGAAGATGAGCATAAGATGTTTATAGTTGAATCTAACAAATCACATATACATTCATATTTAAATAAACTACGATATTACAAAACGAAATGATAAATTCTCATATATATAAAATACGACATTATAAAAGTTCATAGTTGCATGACCATTGAATAAAAGTAGGACAACTTTGTAATTAAAGTAATAAGTAAGGTGATAACGATGTAATTGCACATATTTGCGCCCCTAGTTCTTATCCGTTTGAGGGGCATAGTCGTGTATTTTTGGCCTATTTTACGCCGAGTTGTGCTATTTTTTCATATTTCAGGTCCCAGGCGTCAAAGGAAAGGCTAAGCATGAGTTTCGGGGCATTCAGAAGCCATTTCGTCGAGCTGGAGCCAAAACACGGGCACACCTCAAACAGAACACGGCCGTGTTCTGTGGCCGTGCTTTTACTGCCGAGAGCTAATTGAGTTTGGCAAATTCAAGCTGCAAACACGGGCTGAAAGCACGGCCGTGTCCACCAAAGCACGGCCGTGTCCTCCCAAAAGCACGGCCGTGTTTCTCCCAACACAATGGCCATGTAATTAACCCTAGCCAAAGCACGGGCGGGCTGAGGCATTACACGGCCGTGCCCTCGACCGTGCTTTGGCCACTGATGCCCTTTTAAGCAGATTTCAGCCAAAACAGAAGGGTATTGGAGTTTTGAGAAAGATAGAGCGATTCCTAGAGAGAGAAAGTGACGAACAAGAGTCTCCAAGTGCCCTAGCTTGATCTTCATCACCATTGGAGGCCAGTTTGAGCTTGGAGAAGTGCCGATCAACTTCCAGGAGCAGGAATCCATCCTTCACAGTATGAATTCCGCGTCTGATTCTGCTTTTGCTTCTTTCTCCATGGAGTAGTTCTTCCATTCATCTGGGTATGGAGAACCCTAGATTTGTATGTTAGGCTTTGATTGTATGAACCCAAGTACTGATTCTATGATTTGATTATATTCGATTGAGGGTTGAATGATTGAATGACTTGAATCCTGATCAAATTCCTGTTGTTTCTGCTTTAACCTAGAATGAGAATATCTGCCTAGGTTGATAGAGCATCCTTGATTGAAGGTAGGGAGTTGGTGACATTAGTCGAGGAGCCAACTCACTATTCTGTACCGGATTTACTCCGGTAGTGGAGGTTTTGTTTGTTAAGGCCTCAATCTGTTTACTCCGGTGGAGGTTAGTCGCCCGCTAGAGACTCAGATTGAGAGGGTCTGAAGACCTTTAGTCGAGACTTCAGGCTGTTTAAGAACCTTCCGCAGTATAACTATCATAGAAACTGAACTTGGTAATTACAATCCGGCTTAACTGCAGTCTAGGGGGAACCATATCCGGGTGACCTCTCTTAACCTGAATACAACAATTTACTTGCTTTGTTAGTTTGTTAGTTTTGACTTGCATTAAAGTTTCATTGCTAGATAACAAGAATTCACCGAGTAGTCATCAAATCTAGGACCCGGGTTGACATTTAAACCTAAACCCGCTATACTACACTTTAGGAAGTGGTTTCACTTGGCCATTTCCTGGAGTGACAGTAGAAGTGAGTCAAGTTTTTGGCGCCGTTGCCGGGGAACGGCTAGGTTGTTGAAGAAAAGTGATTTCTGTTAATTTAGCTTTTCTTTTCGCTTTGTTTGCTTTGTCCCACTTGTGCCTTCACGGGTTTGTTTGCTTGAGTGTGTGCAGGTAGTGCATGACCCGTAGCCAGTCGGGAGGTTTATTGCCGTTGAATCCAGAGATTGAACGCACCTGTCGCCAACTCAGGAGCCAACAACGAGCTAGACTGGCTACGGAAGAGCGCATAGACGACCACCTGAGCAGCAATTCTGAGGAAGAGTACAGGATGGACGGAGATTACAATCAGCACCAGGGGAATCCTCAGCAGGCTCCCCCGGTGAATCAGGTCCTGGGGAACAACCCCATACCCCAGGATCATGGGGTTCATCATCATCACCCGCCGCCGGGTCCCACCTTGGAGTACTACTACACTCCACGGATTGCTGACATCCGCCCGGTCATCCTCTACCCGCCTATTCCAGCAAACAACTTGGAGATCAAGCCATGCTGGATTCAGCTCATTACATCTTCTATCCAGTTCCATGGATTGAAGGATGAGGAGGCCAGGGTACATCTTTCCCGTTTTCTGCAGCTGACAAACGGGTTCAAACTGAATGGTGTCCCTGATGATGCAATCCGCCTTCATCTCTTCCCCCATTCTCTGGCGGGGAATGCTAAGAGGTGGTTGGAGACCCGGCCCCCATTGTCCATCACCTCTTGGGACGATCTGGCTGACAAATTCGTGCACAGGTACTATCCAGCATCGAAGACTACAGAGATCCAGCTTGAGATCACTCACTTCCGCCAAGAGCCAGATGAGTCACTTCGTGATGCATGGGAGCGGTACATGGGATATTTCTGGCAGTGTCCCCATCATGGCTTTAGTGATGCATTCACAGTGGGGAACTTCTACAGTGCTCTCTCTCCAGATAGCCAGAGGGTGATTGAGTCTCTATGCCCAGGAGGGGATATTCTTACTAAGACTCCACCCAAGCTGAACCAGATGATCAATACCTTGGCTGCCAGAGATCATTCTTGGGGACAGAGCAGCAGAGGCAGACATTCCCGGGACCGTGGTGTGCACGCCATGGAGACCTGATCCGGGCTCGAGCAGCAGGTAGCTGAGCTAGTGCATACATTGAAGCAGCCCAACAAGTTTATTCCGGGCAGAGGTTTGGCTACACCTCCAGTTTCTCAATGTCAATGGTGTGAGAGTTCGAATCACTTAGTGGAAGACTGCCAGGCTATGAGGGAGTCTACTACTCCCCAAGAGCAGTTAGACTTCATCGCCAATGCTCGGCGCCTCAACCCGTACAACAACACATATAATGAGGGGTGGCGCCAGCATCCCAACTTCTCTTGGGGCAGCAACACCACTAAGCCACCTGGTTTCCCAGCACCAGCTAGTGGCTTTCAGCAGAGGCAGCCCTTCCAGGCTCGACAGGGGCCAGCCCCACAGTAGCAGCCCTACCAGCCTAGGCAGGGGCAACCATTCTAGCAGCTCCAGCGCCAGTTCGCCGAGCCAGCAGCAGCTCCGGCTCCAGATACTCAGATGACAAAGCTGGAAAATATTCTAGCTTCATTCATGACTAGCACTCAGGCAGCTATCACGTCACTGGAGGCAGGTCAGCGGAACCAGGGTGCCATCTTACAAGATCTGCAGAACCAGGTGGGTATCTTGGCCCGCCAGAACACCACCAGGGCACCAGGGATTTTGCCTGCCACCACTGTTCCGAATCCTCGTGATCCTCACCAGCTCCAGCAGCTTGATGCCATCACTACCAGGAGTGGCAAGACCACATCAGCCGCTCCTGCCCAGCCCAGTCGAGATGAGCCACTACCTGCTTCAACACTTCCAGCTGATACTGCAGAAGTGGGGGAAGACACAACAACGCCTGCTCCCAAGCCACAGCCAGTGGTTAAGGAGCATGTACCTCAGCTTCTTTTCCCCACTCGCCTGCATAAAGACAAGCTGTAGACTGAGTTTGCCAAGTTCATGGCAATGTTGAAGCAGGTCAACATCAGCATGCCGTTCGTGGAGGCACTGTCAAATATGCCCAAGTATGCCAAGTTCATGAAGGACCTCCTCACCAACAAGAAGAAACTTGGGGATCTTTCGACAGTAATGCTGAGCGAGGAGTGTTCTGCTATCCTGTAGAACAAGCTGCCCGAGAAGCGAAAAGACCCAGGGAGTTTCACTACCCCTCTTGTTATTGGCAACATGCATGTAGGAAAGTCCTTGGAGGACCTAGGCGCTAGCATAAATGTCATGCCTTATAATTTGTTTAAGAAGCTAGGCCTAGGTGAACCTAGAACTACTAGGATGAGCATTCAGTTAGCTGATCGTTCTATCGTGCATCCTAGGGGTATCATTGAGGACTTGCTTGTTAATGTGGGTGCATTCACATATCCTGTTGACTTTGTTATTTTGGATATAAATGAGGATGTGGATGTACCTTTGATTTTAGGTAGACCGTTTCTCGCCACCGCCAAGGCGCTTATTGATGTGCATAGTGGTAAATTGATTCTGCGTGCTGGTGATGAAAAGTCTACCTTTTCTGTGTCTGTGAATGGGAAACACTCTCATTTGCATGATGACATAGATTACTGTGATATGCTTGCTGATTTTGAGACCGCACTCGCTATAACGAGTGCGGGTACTGACGATGTTCTTGAGCGTTGTATTTTGCTAGGTGAGCAGGCATCGCAGGAGCCGCAGCTGGCGGGGCAGTTGGCCGAGTTGGAGAGTGGCCCCTTCTTGGAGGGCGACAGGCTATTCAAACCGATCTCATCCTCCACCTGCATTGCTACTTCCTTGGAGGAACCACCAGAGCTGGAGCTTAAGCCCCTCCCTCCTCATTTGGAGTATGCATTTCTCCGGGAGGGGAATAAGTTGCCAGTCATCATCAGCTCGACCCTCACACCCGAGCAGAAGACCAGACTGGCGACCTTGATGAAGCGGTACGAGCGAGCTCTCGCATGGAAGATCACAGACATCCGGGGGATCAGCCCTTCTTTCTGCTCCCACCGGATACTGATGGAGGATGAGATGCGGCCGGTGAGACAGCCACAGAGAAGACTGACACCGAACCTGGAGGCTGTGGTTCGGGCAGAGATCGTGAAGCTGCTGGACGCGGGGATCATCTTCGCCATTTCTGACAGCGAGTGGGTCAGTCCCACCCAGGTGGTACCCAAAAAGGGTGGGATGACTGTGGTGCCTAACGAGAAGAATGAGCTGATTCCGATGCGCGCGGTGACTGGGTACCGTGTCTGCATTGATTACCGGCGTCTCAACGACGCCACTCGGAAGGACCACTTCCCGCTACCATTCATTGATCAGATGCTGGAGAGACTGGCGGGGCACGAGTTCTACTGTTTCCTGGATGGGATGTCCAGGTACTTCCAGATCCCTATTGCACCGGAGGACCAGGCGAAGACCACTTTCACCTGCCCCTTCGGCACTTTTGCCTACCGGAGGATCCCATTCGGGCTATGCAATGCCCCCGCCACTTTTCAATGACGCATGCTCGCTATCTTTGACCGTCTGGTCGGCGAGATTATGGAGGTGTTTATGGACGATTTCTCGGTTTATGGAGACTCATTCTCTCACTGTCTCCATAACCTGGAGCTTGTCCTTAAACGGTGTGAAGAAACGAACCTGGCACTGAATTGGGAGAAGTGTCACTTCATGGTTCGAGAAGGCATAGTTCTTGGGAATAAGATCTCCAAGATGGGGATTGAGGTGGACAGAGCGAAGATCGAGACTATCAGCAAGCTGCCTCCTCCTACATCTGTTAAGGGGATCCGGAGTTTTCTTGGCCATGCAGGGTTCTACTGGCGATTCATCAAGGATTTCTCGAAGATTGCTCTGCCCCTGACTAAGCTTCTAGAGAAGGATGCCCCCTTCCAGTTCACTGATGCATGCACAACGGCTTTCACGACCTTGAAGGAGAAGCTCACACAAGCTCCTATCATGGTTGTTCCTGACTGGTCCCTGCCATTTGAGATTATGTGCGATGCCAGTGACTTTGCTGTTGGAGCTGTGTTGGGGCAGAGGCGAGATCAGCATTTCCGACCTATCTACTACGCCTCGAAGACCTTGAATGATGCCCATGAGAACTACACCACCACGAAGAAGGAGCTGCTCGCGGTGGTGTTTGCCTTCGATAAATTTCGTCCTTATCTGGTCTTGTCCCATGTGACCGTGTATACAGATCACTCCACGATTCGATACTTGATGAGCAAGGCTGATGCCAAGCCTAGGCTCATACGATGGATCTTACTGCTGCAGGAGTTTGACATTTAGATTCGGGACAAGAAGGGAGCGGAGAATGTTGCTGCCGATCACCTCTCCCGGTTGGACGCACCCCCTGCGGACAACCTCGAGGAGGAGATCAATGACTCCTTTCCAGATGAGAGACTGATGATGATGTGCCTGGTGGAGAGTGTCACCCCCTGGTATTCTGATTTTGCAAATTATCTTGTGGGCCAGCAGCTGCCCAAGGGGATGACAACTCACGCCAAGAGGAAGTTTTTCTCCGACCTGAAGTACTACTTCTGGGATGACCCTCATCTCTTCAGGATCGGAGCCGACGGGATCATCCGTCGATGTGTTATGGAGAGTGAGATGGAGGGCATTCTATCTCACTGTCATGAAGGACCTGCTGGCGGTCACCACGGAGGGAACCGCACGGCGAGGAAGGTGCTCCAGTTGGGCTTCTACTGGCCCACGCTCTTCAAGGACGCAGACGCCTTCGCACGCAGGAGCGACTGATGCCAGAGGTCAGGTAACATCTCTGCCCGTGATGAGATGCCCCAGAATGTGTTTATAACTTGTGAGATTTTTGATGTCTGGGGTATCGACTTCATGGGCCCCTTCCCTCCATCTTTTGGTAATACATATATCCTTGTTGCTGTTGACTACGTCTCTAGGTGGGTTGAGGCGCAAGCTTTGCCCACTAATGATGCTAGACGTGTTTGTGGTTTTCTGAAACAGCTATTCTCCCGGTTCGGGACACCTAGAGCCATCATAAGCGACCGAGGCTCCCATTTCCACGGTCAATTCGATAAGTTGTTGTCTCGCTATGGTGTAACTCATAAGGTGTCCGTGGCCTACCATCCTCAAACCAGTGGCCAGGCCGAGCTGACGAACCGGGAGCTCAAGCGGATCTTGGAGAAGACGGTGAACTTATCCCGCAAGGATTGGTCCACCAAGCTCGATGATGCTCTGTGGGCATATCGCACTGCCTACAGGACGCCCATTGGTACCTCACCGTACCGGCTTGTCTATGGAAAGGCATGCCATTTGCCCGTGGAGCTCGAGCACAAGGCCTTCTGGGCCCTTAAGCTGCTAAACTTGGATGTTAGTGTTGCAGGTGTTGAGCGAAAAATGCAGATGTTGGAGCTGGAAGAGTGGCGTTATCACGCCTATGAGAACACCAAGCTGTACAAGGAGCGCACTAAGCGCCTGCATGATGCACGGTTGCGGGGTCCGAAAGATTTCCAGGTTGGTGATCGAGTTCTCCTTTATAACTCTCGCCTGAAGCTCTTTCCTGGAAAACTCCGTTCCCGGTGGTCTGGACCGTACACGGTCACACAGGTGTTCCCGTATGGCAAGATTGAAATTTCCAACCCGCAAACTGAGCCGTTTAAAGTGAATGGCCATCGTCTCAAGCTCTACCTGGGAGACGAGGTCGAACGTGCGGAGTTGGCAGTGGAGCTCGCGGACCCTTAGTTCCGCAATCGGCGTCCAGCTAAAAGACGGTAAAGAAGCGCTTGTGGGGAGGCAGCCCCACCACGGTTTGCATTTCTACCCTTTGTTTTTATTTATTTATTTCATTTTTGTCGGTTTTTGAGTCTTTGAGTCTATCTGGAGTCAGTCTGGAAAGTTTTTCGTGCCTTGGGCGGTTCTTTTTAATGTGTGATTGGGTAAATTTTAGAGCCGGGGCACGAATGAGTCTTGGTGGTTTGAGATTGAAAAAACTAAAAAAAGGCATTTTAGGCTCGGCAGTAAATACACGGGCAGCAGGGGGGCCAAAACACGGCCGTGTTTTGCCCTGCCCCGCCCGTGTTTTGCCTTTTAGCCTCGGCATAAAAAGCACGGGCATGGGACCTTTGAAAACACGGCCGTGTTTTGAAAGGAGCCCGCCCGTGTTTTATTAAAGGAGCAATTCGCCCTCGGCAGTGCAAACACGGGCGCGGAGCAGGCAGAACACGGTCGTGTTCTGCCCCGCCCGTGTTTCGCTGCCCCCCCTATAAATTCGATTTTCCGCCCCCCAAACCCTCCAGCCTCATTTTTTTCAAATTTCCCAGCCTCCTCTCGCCGAAAACTCGGCCTTTTCACCTTCTCCTTCCATTTTCCGGCCATAACTTCCTCCCCCGACCTCCAAATCACAAACCGCGAACGCCCCCATGCTCCTGGCGTCGAAGAGCACATTCCTCAAAGATTTGGGCTGGTTTGGCTGAGGTTGGGTCGCCGGCGGTGAGTTTTCCGGCGAGTCTCCGGTGTGTTTTCCGGCGACTTTGGGTGCTTCTTTCCACTTTCTTCACCTCTCTCGTGGTCTCTTCTTGCGTCTCCAGGTGTGTTCTCCTTGTCTTTTCCTATATTTATGGAGAATCAATACCTAGAGTTAGGTGAAGAACTTCTGATTGTGGAATGAATGGTTTGAGAATATTTTGGGTTTGGGGGATGATTGGGATGATTGCATGTTGCATTGTATGCGGGCTAGTATGGTTTTTGTGTGGTGGATCGATTGGTGCTTATTTCATACGGGTTTGGGTATGCTTGTTTCACCGGGGGCCTAGTCCACTGTCCGAATAGCTCGATTTGAGGGTCCCCGGTGTATTTTGCTGTGTAAATCTCGTATGATGGGTATGCTTGTTTCGCCGGGAGTCTAGTCCACTGTCCATATCTTTCGATATGAGGGCTCCCGGTGTGGGTTTGGCCTAACATTGACCCCGTTTGCTTGTGTACACTTTGTCCTTCATTGTGTTTTGCAGGATCATGGAGGTTTATCTCGACCAAATGAACATCGTCCAGAGCCATAAGCTGCGGAACCTCCGTGACCGCAGCATCGCCGAGCACTATCACCTCGATTGGGAGGTGTTCGAGGAGCTTCATGCCAGGCCACAGATGGAGGCCGTGGTCCGCTCCTATGGTTGGCGGCGTCTTCTCACCCTCGCCGAGCCGACCTACAAGGAGCTAGTCTGGGAGTTCTACGCCACCTTCCACCACAACTCGAAGGGGAACTCCAACCATGCTGATGCAGTTCAGTTCACCCTCGGCGGGGTGGAGCATTCCCTCAGTTACTGGGAGTTCGCCAATGCACTTCGTCTCAATTCCCGGGCAGCAGGCGGTCCTCCTCTTCGCTTGGATCTCTCTGATCCCACGGACTTCGCTTCCCAGGCGTACTTTTAGAGCATTTGCCTGCCGGACAGTGTGGGTGAAGAGTACGTGGCCAGCCAGACGCGGGCTGCTCTCCTCCGTCCGGAATGGCGGATCCTCAACCACCTGATGTGCACTTCTTACACACCCAGCAAGGGCTCGTCCAACCGGGTCACACTCCGGACTCTTTGGTTGATGCATGCGATGGGTCGTTCTGAGGACACCATCCAGCTGGGTTCTGTGCTTGCCCGGACATTCACTAAAGCAGCCATCAGCACGACTCGCAGCCTCGTTTGTGGCCCGGTGATCACCGCCTTGGCCCGCAACTACGGGGTGGACTACACAGGGATGACATTGGTCCGCGGGCCAACCCCACTCAGCGAGGCTACTCTCCGCCACCAGCACTTGGTTGCTCGCCATGGGCGTGTGCGCTGGATCGCGGGCCTTCCTCAGCCACCTCCACCTGCCGAGGGCGACCAGGCCGAGTCGAGCGCCGCTGGTGGGCGCCGAGTTCCCCGTCGCGTTCCCCGTCGTGCCCAGGATCCCGCGAGCCCCTCTCCTGCTCCCCGGTCTCCTTCTTCAGGGTCACCTCCTCCAGTGGTGGTGCCCATCTCCGACCAGTTGGCAGCGATCGCTCAGCAGAATGAGCGCATCCTGGCCGGCCAGGAGCGCATCCACACCCGCCTTGATCGTGAGCGGGACCGAGGGCGTCGTCTCATGTCGGGGCAGCACTACATCATGTCCTACTTGGGCTTGGACCCGAACGCGGTCCACTACCCGTTCGTGCAGTCCCCAGGGTTTGAGGATGAGTACCCTCCACCCACCGGCGATGGTGGTGATGCCTTCTAGAGCGGGTTTTTGTGCTTTATTTGTGTTCCAGACTGAGACTCCGTGTTTTGTGGTTTGTTTTTGTTTTTTTTTATCTTGGATTGTAGACTTGGTACTCTGATTTCTATCACCCAGTGTGTGTGTTTTTGTTGTCTCTAGCTCTGTGCCTCCTTCTTTTGACTGGTCCGCCATCCAGTCAACGTTCCTGACCATTGTTTCACGGTAACATCATTCCCCTTCCCTCTGCTCCATTGAGGACATTGTCGCGTTTAAGTGTGTGTGTGTGGGGGGGGGGGGGGGGGGTTCTTTGTATGAATTGGAACGTATATATGTGTGCTTGGAGCCTAGTCCACTGTCCAAATCTTGAGATTTGAGGGCTCCAAGCATGGTTGTTTGCTTGATGATTGATCGTATTGGCACTGTGGATGTGATTAGTGAATTGAATGGCTTTTGACTTGATACATAACAACTTGAGTGTGACTTAGATAACTTATTGTGATGACTGAGATGTGCAGTAGAATTGTGTAGGGGTTCAGTTTTTCAACTGTCTGCTCACCAAATGTGACTTGGTTCAATCACTTGCTTTTGACAGTTATTTATGCATCTAGTTCAGGGAATCAGAACGTGAGATAGAGCATATAGGTAGCCATGTGAGATTTGAGCCTGCTCGTTTCTTTCTTGTGCGATAGTTTCCTCTTCCATGATGTGCGGCATTCACGTTGTCATTAGCTAAGATGATGGAGGCATAGGATTAGCCCACGACCAAATTGATTGTCCTAGTGTGTCATACCCCTAGTCAGCCCCTTTGAGCCGTGTGTTTTCCTTTCTTTCGGTCTTCAATGAAAAGTCACCCTTTTGCATCTTTTAGAAGGTTCCACAGAGTGATTTTTACATGTTCTCTGCTGTTTCTGCTAAATGTAATGTGAGGGTTGGAGGTAGTGCTTAAAAGTTGGGCAGGTGTAAGAAAAATGTGCAGAGGTGGTGGTTCTCTTAAGAAATGAAAAATATGAAAGAAAATCAAAGAAAAAAGAAAGCAAAAGAGAGCTACCACCAAAAATCTGAATAATGCCCATGTAGTAGTGTTTCTTAGCAGTCTGGCTTAGAAATACTAGCATTTATGTAACCTCCTTCGCTCTTGTGCTCTGAACTTGAGTAATGCAGAATAGCAGAAAGAAAGTTATTGGTTTGATTGATTGTGAGTCTGTTGGGTTTGGAAATGTGGAACCTTGTGTTGTATGAATACTTCCACCACCTAAAAGGCCTTTTCCCCATGTCCAAGACCCTAGCCAGTCATCTGAACCTGTGTCTAAAACCTCCAGATTAGTTAGTGGTGACACCCCATATGTGAACTCTAGCACTTAGAGGCTGCATTCATGGTGAAGAGATGTTAGGGATTGAGAGATTAAGCATGCGCATTTTTCGCATCATATTGTCCTGACCCCACTAGTCGAGAGTGAGCGATTCATTTTCTCTTATTCTCTATACTCTTTATCCCGGTGAGGGCCTAGATTGCTCGGTCTTAATTTTGATATCTTGAACTTTGTGCATGACGTGACTGTTTTGAACAAGTGGTTGAGTCAAGTCTATGTTGGTGAGTGAACAGAAGGGAGACTCTTCCTTTGCTCGATTTTACTGCATTCGAATGTCATCTGTGGTGGTTGTCTAGGTTGTCATTGAGGTTGTCCATGTGTTACTGATCGAAAGCCAGTATGATCCACGTGTTTTGTGCCGATATGACATGCCCTGTTTTGAGCTTACCTTGTGTCTGACTTGGTTTGCTTGGGGACAAGCAAACGGTTAAGTCTGGGGGAATTTGATAACGATGTAATTGCACATATTTGCGCCCCTAGTTCTTATCCGTTTGAGGGGCATAGTCGTGTATTTTTGGCCTATTTTATGCCGGGTTGTGCTATTTTGTCATATTTCAGGTCCCAGGTGTCAAAGGAAAGGCTAAGCACGAGTTTCGGGGCATTCGGAAGCCATTTCGTCGAGCTGGAGCCAAAACACGGGCACACCTAAAACAGAACACGGCCGTGTTCTGTGGCCGTGCTTTTACTGCCGAGAGCTAATTGAGTTTGGCAAATTCAAGCTGCAAACACGGGCTGAAAGCACGGCCGTGTCCACCAAAGCACGGCCGTGTTTCTCCCAACACAATGGCCGTGTAATTAACCCTAGCCAAAGCACGGGTGGCCTGAGGCATTACACGGCCGTGCCTTCGACCGTGCTTTGGCCACTGATGCCCTTTTAAGCAGATTTCAGCCAAAACAGAAGGGGATTGGAGTTTTGAGAAAGATAGAGCGATTCCTAGAGAGAGAAAGTGACGAACAAGAGTCTCCAAGTGCCCTAGCTTGATCTTCATCACCATTGGAGGCCAGTTTGAGCTTGGAGAAGTGCCGATCAATGTCTAGGAGCAGGAATCCATCCTTCACAGTATGAATTCCGCGTCTGATTCTGCTTTTGCTTCTTTCTCCATGGAGTAGTTCTCCCATTCATCTGGGTATGGAGAACCCTAGATTTGTATGTTAGGCTTTGATTGTATGAACCCAAGTACTAATTCTATGATTTGATTATATTCGATTGAGGGTTGAATGATTGAATGACTTGAATCCTGATCAAATTCCTGTTGTTTCTGCTTTAACCTAGAATGAGAATATCTGCCTAGGTTGATAGAGCATCCTTGATTGAAGGTAGGGAGTTGGTGACTTTAGTCGAGGAGCCAACTCACTATTATGTACCGGATTTACTCCGGTAGTGGAGGTTTTGTTTGTTAAGGCCTCAATCTGTTTACTCCGGTGGAGGTTAGTCGCCCGCTAGAGACTCAGATTGAGAGGGTCTGAAGACCTTTAGTCGAGACTTCAGGCTGTTTAAGAACCTTCCGCAGTATAACTATCATAGAAACTGAACTTGGTAATTACAATCCGGCTTAACTGCAGTCTAGGGGGAACCATATCCGGGTGACCTCTCTTAACCTGAATACAACAATTTACTTGCTTTGTTAGTTTGTTAGTTTAGACTTGCATTAAAGTTTCATTGCTAGATAACAAGAATTCACCGAGTAGTCATCAAATCTAGGACCCGGGTTGACATTTAAACCTAAACCCGCTATACTACACTTTAGGAAGTGGTTTCACTTGGCCAATTCCTGGAGTAACAGTAGAAGTGAGTCATAAGGGTAGAAAGGTAATTTACCATCATAAAATTTAATCTATCACCCAAATCTCACCTCAAGAGGTGGAACTTCCAAGTTTGTGGGGTCCAGGAATTTGGAACCCCAAAAAAGGCGGGACCCACAGATTCCATTTCTCTAATTTCCTAATGAAAAGGATGAATTTCTGTTAAAGTCCATGATGAATAGATTTGCATGACCAAATCCATCATCAAAACCCTCAAGCAAACGACTAATTCTCTATTTAATTATGGTGGAAGAAAAGAAACCATCTCATATCGTATCGACCTGTCCGATCGAAAAGCAAATACCAAAATCAAGGCCGGTACAATACGCTCAAACCTAATAGAAATAACGGAACATGACGCTGATTACCACCTTGACTTGAGATACAAATCAGCTTCAAACCAAGCAAACTGAACTGGTGTAAATAAATCATGCCGTGTGACATGGAGATGACCCAACAACATACCGCAAAAAAGCTCAAACCAAATTCCCTCAACATAAAAATAGTGCATACTTGTGTATCCCAAATCGGCAAAGGAACAAACTCAAATCATCAAACACATCGATCTCTTTAGAGTATGCATTGCAATTTTCACTCTATTCTAAATCAATGTACTGTATCAATCGACGACCATGCGGCATGCGCATCTCCAACGAAAATGTTTGGTTCCTTACAAGAAGACGCTTGAAAGAAGTAATTGATGACTTTGTCGTGTAATTTGTTGTCCGGCAGAATCAAGGACTCCATCCTCTTAAAAGGAGATGGATGTTGCTCCAGAATCTCATCACGCATATAGTTCAGTATCACAACAGTACTAGAGCTGCGCAGCTTCAAAATTTTCGCGCTCTGCACATATTGGAACAAGGATCTCAAATACTCACCCGCGACTGTCTTGTCTATCAAACGCTTCATGCCCGGGTCCGGCGTCTTCAACTCGATATCTGCACGATCCAGTTCAGGAATGGGGGCTGAATCGAAGAACCCATTGCCAGCTGTGCCAGTCGTCACCTTTTCACAGAGAGTGAAAGTTTCGAGCTCCGGCGCGTATATCTCAATCTCGTAGTACGCCATCAGCTCCAGTTTCAAGCTGAGCAATTGGGGGCCATGTATCTTCAACTTGCTCCCCATTCCGGAACCCTCTGTCCGATAGCAGAAATTCATGGACAAATTTTTCAAGCAAGGAAAGTTAGTAAGAGTGAGACCACGGGCAGTACCCAAAGGGCAACTTCGCAGGGTCAACGTGGTCAACATTGGGAAGCCAGAGCAGGTTGCAAAGCCATGGTCGAGGTTGATCCAGTGGAGGTCTAGAGCTTTCAGGTGATTATTCGTCGTCTTCTTCTTCTTCTTCCTCTTCTCGCTATTAGCAATATAATTAGTATCGCAGTAATCGGAGAATATTACGCTGAAATTCCAGTACGTCTCGTTCCTGATATTCCTGTGCAGGGCTAACTCTTCAACGTCGTGGGATAACGCGTAGTCGACGACTTGCAGAGATCTACTGCCCTTGTCTTTTGGCAGGCTTCCGTCGCCGCCGTAGTAGAAAACCTTGCGGAGCTTAAGGTCGTCGCGGAGGGACAAAACCTTGAACACAAACCTGTCGAACTTGGCAGCTTGTTGGAAAAAATTTGTATGTAAGTCGAGCACTGGGACATGCTTCCAGGTTCGGTTCCAATCCCGCGACAGCACTGAGGTCTGAACCGTCGATTTGGTGTCGAGGAACGAAAGGATGTGACACAGGATGGGTTCGGGAAGATGGGTTAACCTGTCGTCACCACACATTTTTTCCGGCTTGGATGTTCTCTGAATTTCAGGATACGGTCCACCGTCCACCTTATAGGCAAAACAAAAAACCTAGCTTGCTCACCAAGTCACGCACGAGCTAGGACAGGCGTATTCCGAATCCGAATTGTGTTGTTGAGACTTGCAACACTCGTCCTCAGCCGAGCCCGGAACTATTGGTCCAGCCCATGAGGGCAGTCACATTTGTTGCGGCCCAATAATGACGAGTCGGTCGATTGAGCCCATATTCTTGTTCTCTCGAATGCGGTGTCGGTGCTTGCTATACCATATTCTTGGATCATCTCCTACACCGCACAATCCATAGAGTTGCATGTTAATGCTTCGATGGGTATATGAGAACAAATATTGGTTAAAGACTACAAGGTTGACGGTGGTGATGTCTTTCCAATCCAATTTCTTTCTTCTTTTCTTGGTGCCAGTTTTCTTTTCCAAGCACAAAGAAATAAGTGATTTGTGTCATCAAATAAAAACAGATCCTGAATTGTTATTCACTCGGTGCATAATAATGTGCAATTACTGATGAAAGATTATTGTAATTTCAAAAATGGTTTTGATCCCACCCTAATATATATAGGGATGGGCAACGAGAAACGAGTATTTGTTTATACCCATACCCGTCCCGTTTTTTAAGGGTTACGGGTACTCAAATACCCGTAATTATTTTTATGGAATGAGACTTGGGATCAATGATTCCTACATTGGGTACCCACGGGATATTCGTTAATACCCGTTTGGGTAGTATGGGTACCCGTAATACCCGTTCGAACCAAGCTCGTGCATGAGTGATGGTGGTAGGGGTGCGTGAAGGTGAATGAATTTTGGTACTTTAATGCATGTAATTAAATTAGCAAGTGTTACATGTATTGAAAGATGGAATTAGTTGTGGTGAACTAATAATAAAATTGTTGAGGGTGTTACTGAAATACTCCGTGCTTAGACTAAGTAGTAGGGCGCACAATCGGCGATCCGCGACGCTCGATATCAGCTACAGGTATATAAGGGCTTGAAGCCCTCAAAGGAAATGACTTCTTCTCTCTCATGACTTTCCACTTTCTACTATCTCTCTACACTTTATCTTTCTACCTTGTTCTCTCAACTCTCACCTGAAACATAAACTGACTTGATCGTCGGAGTTTAATCCGGGGGGGGGGGGGGGGGAACCCCGGCTCTTCCACAGGTTCCTTCACTCCCGACGAGATCAGACGAACGGATCGTGAGTCAACCCCACACCAACAAATATCATTGTTCATACCGGAGCTAGATGGTACAAACAATTGGCGCCCACCGTGGGGCAGATTCATCGATTTTGTGAGTTCAATCTCTTAAGGATGGGAGGCGCAAATCAAAGGGAAGAGGGAAAGTGAAATCCAAAATCTTGAAGAAAAATGGAAAAACACCCGCTAGTCCGCTACTATGTTTGTCTCCGATCTGTCCGATCATCCGACAAGGTTGAAGCAGATGTCGGTCGTCGCCAAGAAGTTCGTCGTCTTCTCCGGCGCCTGAGTGACGCACCTTCCTCCTCCACTGCCACTCTGTTCGAATCCGCAACTCGAGGAAGAAAGGAAGAAAAGGGCAAATAAAAAATCAACGCAGGCAGCAAGCAATTCAGAGTTTTGTCTCCATACCACAACAATCTAATCACCATATTCTCTGCAAGGGGAAGCAAAGAAGTGGAAATTCCGGTCGGCAGCAATGCTTCCGGCACCAACCGTCCGGCGGGTAGTAACACTGACGTCGCTATCAATGTCAAGTTATCCCACTCCTACCGCTCATCTACAGTAGCTAGGCCCACAAAATCGAGCAAATCGGATGGTCTTGTCACACTTTCTCGCTTCCCGAGGAGTGACAGAGAGGCGCACTTCCCATGGCCAACTCTTCACAAGTGGGCTATAGGATGGAGACTCCTCGACGAAGAATAGGGCAGAGTATGCAAGGAGAGACGCACCAGACCCTTTATAAGATCTGAATCGCGTATCAATCGAGGGGCGGCTGCTCAGCACCAGGAGGAGGCTACCCGTTCCCGCCCACACAATCCGTGGCATTACATAATTTTCCGCGGGTGCTCTGCAAGATTGTCGATCCATCGATTCGTTTCAAGGGGAAAAAAATTTATTTAGGGGAAAGGCGTACTTGGTTTGGAGTTTTAATTGGGGCGGAGGATCTAAATCCCAATTAGCACCGCGTCGGCCCAAGAATCAGTAGCATGAAGTCGATTAAAAGAGAAAAACATGCCTGCCACCAGAATTGAAGCTGCCTTCAAACAACGATGAAAAATGGACCCGCCAGTACCCCAGTTCTCCGCTCCTACAGTAACCGCTGCTCTCATCGGCGACAGAGCCGTGCTTCTCGCTCCTGCGCTCTCTTCGAACGCCGCCACAGCACTAGCAGCTTCTCAGCGCGGTCAGGCATCTGTCTCCCCCGACTAGTCGCGCTTCCGACGCATCCGCGGCCCCTTTTCTGACCGTCCCAGCTCTCTCCGCGCGGGTAAAAGCGGCGCCATTTAAAGAAGAAGATGAATCGGCGGAAGAAAAAAAAACTCACCTATTTAGGCCTGCACGTTCAGCCCATATAAGCATCCATTCAGGGCTCGCCCGACAATAAAATCTCGGCCCAGGGACCACCCTTTAAGTCAGAACAAAAAATGCTCCACGAGTTTTGAACCCGCGCTCCTACATTACATGTAAGTAATCAACGCACAAGCCAGTACGCTAGACGGACAAGTTGTGACTATAATAAGGTACTCCCTCATTTTAATAAATTACGGCCACGAGGTGCTACATGCTCTGCTGTCCATCCCGCTCCACCACCTCACAGCGCCCACGCCTGATACTCGCGCCTCTGGCACAACCTGCCCAGCCCGCTGCCTCATCTCTAGTTGTGCACCGACCCACTTCCGACGTCCCGCCAAAGCCCAACAGACGAGGAGCTCACCAAAACATAAAGTAGTCGCCTCATCTCCAGTTGTGCACCGACCCACTTCCGACGTCCCGCCAAAGCCCAACAGACGAAGAGCTCACCAAAAAATAATGTAGTCGCCGCCAATACTCGAACCTGCACCACTCTTGCGCTAGACAAACAACATTACCAGTAAGCTACATACGCGACTTGTGATTGGCGCAGTACTCTCATTTTAACAACACTCCGCGCGTATCGCCTCGTCAACTCTTCCAACTCGCGGGCCACTCTCCCCTGGTGACCTTTAGCAAACTCCCTCTGTCCCGCGTCCGCCAAGACCTACTCACGGAAGAAGGACAACCACCAAACGCGGGCCCGCTCCATGCCTCCTCCGCATCACCCAGCCCACTTCTGACTCAGCCCGCTATCCGACTCGCGGCCCAAATCCTCCCTTCTGATCGCCTCTCCGGCCCACCACAAGCGCGGATCCAAACTTGCACGAGGGACTGATTCTACTTGCGGCCCAACAACACGCACCATCACGCGGCCCACTTCCACGGCAAGAGTCCACGACTGACTCGCGGTGAGCTTCATGACCGACCCGCAAAGCCAAATTCGCTCGCTCTCACTCCTCATGGGCCCGCTTCACCTCAATAAGCCTGAAACAAGGCTAAGGAAGTTAAAAATCAAAAGTGCTACCTCTGTGAATCGAACTCGCTTCACTCCTCCGCCTGACAAGCAACACCACAAGCGCGGATCCAAGCTTGCACGAGGGACTGATTCTACTCGCGGCCCAACAACACGCACCATCACGCGGCCCACTTCCGCGGCAAGAGTCCATGACTGACTCGCGGTGAGCTTCATGACCGACCCGCAAAGCCAAATTCGCTCTCTCTCACTCCTCATGGGCCCGCTTCACCTCAATCAGCCTGGAACAAGGCTAAGGAAGTTAAAAATCAAAAGTGCTACCTCTGTGAATCGAACTCGGTTACTCCTCCGCCTGACAAGCAACACCACCAGTATGCTACAAAGCCGCCTTATGCCAAAATTGTGCGTCGCATTCTACTTAATCAGTATCCTGCCGCCTCTCCAGTTTAAAGCTAAGTAATCTATCCCTCTATAACTGTTAAATTTTTAAATATTTTACTTTCCTGCGTTAATGAAGCTAATGGGAGGCAAGACGTACCCAACAACGTGGGAGATGAGAAACTCACCAAGATCTCGACGCCTTGAAGACTCCAAACTGAGGAATAAAAACCCCGACGAGGAGAGGGCACATTGCCCTGGTGAATCTACAAATAAGTCTCAACGAAGCACACAAATAAGACTTCAATAAGAGCATCGAAGACTCCAAACTTAGGGTTAAAAACCCCGACGAGGAGAGGGCGCATTGCCTTGAAGACTCCAAACTGAGGGTTAAAAACCCCGACGAGGAGAGGGCACAATTCCTTGAAGACTCCAAACTGAGGGTTAAAAACCCCGACGAGGAGAGGGCATATTGCCTTGAAGACTCCAAACTGAGGGTTAAAAACCCCGACGAGGAAAGGGCACATTGCCTTGAAGACTCCAAACTGAGGGTTAAAAACCCCGACGAGGAGAGGACACAATTCCTTGAAGACTCCAAAATGAGGGTTAAAAAAAAACCCGACAAGGAGAGCTCCATGAAGAATCTACAATGGGTGAAGGCTACACCTTTTAATGAAATACACAAACTGGGGGGCAAGACGCAAGAAGCTGGCACCGCTTCAGTCAAACGCGCCACCAGCTGGGGGGAAACTGGGGTACATAGGACTCCATCCAAAATTATCGATGAAGATTTAAAAAAAAATATAAGCTAGCGATGAGTTAAAACTCACCACCAGCTTGGGGGCAATTGTTGGGGGTGTTTCTGAAATACTACGTGCTTAGACTAAGTAGTAGGGCGCACAATCGGCGATCCGCGACGCTCGATACCAGCTACAGGTATATAAGAGCTTGAACCCCTCCAAAGGAAAGGACTTCTTCTCTCTCCTAACTTTCCACTTTCAACTATCTCTCTACACTTTATCTTTCTACCTTGTTCTCTCAACTCTCACCTGAAACATAAACTGACTTGATTGTCGGAGTTTAATCCGGGGGAAATCCCGGCTCTTCCCCAGGTTCCTTCACTCCCGACGAGATCAGACGAACGGATCGTGATTCAACCCCACACCAAAAAATATCATTGTTCATACTTGTTTGAGCCTAGAATGTTCTAGGCGGTTTTGTGAAACTAGCAAGGCGTCTGTTCCAGATGATGGGGGACTCCAAGCTCCTGCAAAACAAGGGTCCTTGGGCGGTCACCCAGGACACCCTCCGATGCTTAAGTTAGAGAGAGAGATGATTCTATAGTAATATTTAGAGAGAGAGAGAGAGTAGTTGGTTTACCATCAATGCAGATAGGAACGTATTTATAGTGGTTTGGACTGAACTCCGAGCATTAAATGCCATGTCAGGCGTCCTAGATCAGGCTTTGCTTTATCTAGACCGCCTACAGCGGTAATTAATGCTTAGTCCTGCTGTGTTCGAGGTGAGTATCTCTAGAGGATCTCCTCTTCTGCCCGTAACGGCTCTCTGTGTCAGGCGTCCTAGTACCTGTCTTGTCCTAGTATGGCCGCCTTCCTTTATCTATTCCCCATGCGCTACGTTACTCTCTTGGGCCCTCTGCATGGGCCTTATTCCTTGGGCTTCCAAGCCCAATGCCGCTCAGCTATGGCCCAACAATTGCCCCTTAGCCGTGAAAAGCTAAGGATTTTGGCGGCTACTGTTACGTTATCTGATAGCTGAGCGGTCCTTGTATTAGCCGCTATCTACCCTTTTGCCCCTGGCCGCCGCAGATCTGTGATTTTCCGAACCGCTGGTCTCCTATACTCGTCTTACCGATAATTGGCATGAGCCCCTGCGCTGTCCGTGCCTCGTGACTTGGTTGAAGAATGAGCGCCTGCGTTGTCCACCTTCCTTTTGCTCGAAGCGTGCTCCATTTGGCATCAATTCGAGGGGTTTTAAGTTCTCCCTAAGGGCGCTCGGGCTATGCGGTTATTAGCGATTGCGCTGCCCCTCTTTACATAGATCCGGGGGACTTCCATGCCCCGGTTGTTCTTTAAGAGCGCCTGATTATGCCGCTTGTCACGCACGCGGCTCCCGTCTATTGGAATTCCTAAGCGATTGCGCTGTCCACCCCCTTTTGCCTGCTGCACGCTTCTTCGACGTGCCATGCGGACGAACGCTTGTCTCTCACCTTTCCCCGATTGTGCCAATCGAGAACCGCCTGCCGTTTGATCTTCTACGTCTCATCCCACCGCTTGTACGCGGCGCCACGTGTCTGGCCTCGGCCTTCGTGCACTGACAACGGGCACCTTTACGTCCAATCACTTGCCCGATTTTTGAATTTCCTAGGGTAGGGCTTGCCCTAGGTCACTCAACCGTCGCTTCGCTGCCCCTCTTCGTATTATTTATACTCGCCTTTTCCTTCTTTCCCCCACAGTTCTCTTCTTCGCCCATTTTGCTTCTTCCTCCGATCCACTCGCCAAAATTGCTCGGTGTTCTTGTTTTTCCCTCTCTTCCTACCTTCGAGACAACTCTTCCTTGTCTCCGCCGAGAGCAATCTTCCTTGCTAAACTCCGACGACGTCAGAAACGGGCGAAAAGAAAACTTCGGAGGCAAATGGCGAACGAATCACAAAGTACCAGTCACTCCGATAGCCAAAATCAGAACCTCTCTGGTGATGTCGTCGCCGTCACAACCTCCAGTGACCTTGCAGTTACTGTTTCCGGCGACGCTCGCACCTCCAGTGCCGGTGGCAGCGCTCTACGGTCATCTTCTAAGTCCGGAGGTGGATCAGGCGGACCGCCTTCTAGCAGCCGTCAAGTGAATACAGGTACTCATCTTCACTCACTATGTCGTGCGGTTTACTCATAGGCATAGGATTCAGAATTGACTTCACACGCTCGGCGTGAGGCATACTTAGACGGTCTTCGTTATGACCTTTTAGGGGTAGAACTGGATATGGCTCCTGACGCGGGAACGTCGGGCGGACGGCGTGGAGCGTCTTCCTTGGTTGGAGACAACCTGGAGGACTTTGACTATTCCGAGGCGGAGAGTGAGCCGCCTAATAATGCGACGGTGATCCCTTCTGATGGTGGCCCCACGAACCGCCCAGAGGATGAAGGGAGGGAGCTGTCTCCGTCTCTGACCGTCTCCGACGCTTTGCCGGTCGGCGCTTTCCAGGCTATCCGTGTCACTACCTACCGTGTCCGGCTGCATGCGGACATGTGGGAAGGAGAACCCGTACCCTCAAGCGCCTATGAGCAAGGGCCGCCGAATGAGGCCGCGTACAGCCCTAAACAAGTTCTTTGACAGTTGAAGACGCACAACCTTCCCACCAATTGGGATTACGTGGCTCCTTCCCCTGCTTGACGGTCGGGTTCTTGTCCGGGCGGTTGGATTCCCATACATGTGGAACATCTTCGGATGGGTCTGACTTTCCCTATTGACCCCATCCTTACTCGGACGCTCCTCTTCCTGAACTGCACCCTGGGACGCTTGTCTCCCGGGATCATTTTTCACTCAATCGTTTTTAGGGCTGCTTGTGCAAAGATAGGTGAGGCGCCCTCTTTTGACGCGTTCCGTCAGTTATACAAGATGAGGGGCTCTGAAAATTGCTGGTCTTGCTACCGCCGGGAGTCGCGGATTGGCCTTGTCAGCGGGGCACCTAAGTTGGATTCCCCTTGGTTTAAAGAGTATTTCTTTGCTCGCCCCGCTGACAAGTGGTATTCCGGAGAGGTTGAACCGCCTACGGGCTTTGCGTCTGGAGACAAGAAAGATTGGAACAATGATACTGACGGCCTTGGTCCTGTCAAACCCTTTCTAAAGCGGCTCATGAGTGCTCTTCAGATTCACCTTCCCCCAAAGGGGGGACGATAATGCCTTGGATATTATTCGGCGTTTTCATGGTTAGTTGCTTTACTTTTCTTGTCGAGCGCGCTTCTCATGATTTTTGCTTTTTAACTTGGCTTCTTCCACAGGCACGCGACGATATGCATCCTCTGCCCGACCGCCTAAGCCTGGGGTCAATGCCCCCGCCTCCCCTGTTCCTGCCCCTGCTCGTCCCGGCGGTTCCCCAGCCTCCACCGTCTCAGAAACAGCTTGTGGCCAGCCACACTGGTGTGCTGAAGCTCTCTGAGCCGGCTCTGACGAGGAATTCTGCTAAGCGGGCTCTCGACATCACTACTTCAAAGGATTTGATGGCGGCCGCGGGGGGAGCCGCGGTTGAAGGGAGTGCTTGTTGAGAAGTCTACTCCAATAGACGCATACATTGCGCCTAAGAAACAGAAGAGAACAAGTGTCGACACTTCTGTCTCGTTTTCGTCGCAAGCGTCCCTGTATCCCGCGGCCGCCAAACGTGCCATGCACGTAATTTCTGAGGGATTGGCGGTCCCCACCGACTTTACCCCCACTCCTGGAACTCCTGTGTTGGTGTCCGACACAAAGCGGCTGGCGGCCGCCACCTCGCGGCTATTTTTTGCGGTATGTTGAGATTCACTTCTTTCTTTTCCGGTATTTTTTGCGGTATGTTCTTGCGTTGACTCCTATCTTCGTGCAGACCCAGTTTGGCCTGAATCAGATCATGCTGGAAAATGACCGCCTGGAGAGCAACCTGCTGGACGCCAAAACTCAGGTGTTGAAGCTGGAGGACCAACTTAAAGAGGGCCGCGAAGGGGTAAAGGCGGAGGTGCGGGAGGACGTCTTGAAGGAGCAGGAGCAGATTATGAAGGCTAAGGATGCTGAGATTGAGGCGGGCAAGGAGTTGACAAGGAAGGCCGAAGCGGACGCGGAGCGCCTGCGGTCCGAACTGAATGAATCTTTGGCTCGGGAGAGCGCTCTGCAGGTTGAGCTGGCCAACCTCCGATCAGAAAAATCCGAGTTGCAGGATGCTCGGGAGGCCGACATGCTGAGGGCCGCCCAGGAGGCTAGGGACACGTTCTGGACCTCCGATGATTATCGTATCGCCGACGACGCGAAGTATAAGAAACTACTTCGTGACACCGTGGCCGCCATTCGCCATTGGTTCCGCCGCGAGTATCCGGAGGTGGTGTGGGACACCAACTCCATATGGGACGCGGTCTAATTTTGGAGCGACGATGATGTCAACTCCGAGTACGTTGCAACGCCTCCTGCTGACAATGCAGCGCCCACTGTTGTCGAGCCTGTAGGGACCGCAGAGAATGTTGAAACCTCCGAGGCCGCCGGTGTTACCATGGAGGAAGTCCAGGATGAAGAAGCTTGAAGAAGGAACCGCTTGACTGTCATGCCTTTTCACTTTGCTTTCTGTCCTTTTATTTTGCTGCTGCTGTAAACTAAATCTGCCCAGGGCAGTGAATATTTTTGGCGTTTCTTCGAAATGCCTTCTATGGGATGCTTCCATTTCCTTAGTATTTTTGATAACTGCTGTGCCAACTAACCGAACGAATGCGGCCGGCTACTGTTAGGCTTTGATTGACCTTTTCGCTTTGAAGCGGTTGAGTGTGTGCTTTGA